TAAAAAAACACGATAATTATTAATAAAGCTATCCTACATTTATTCTATTACTTGTATAATGTTATAATATTTTAATACATGTGTACATTACAACGCTTTCCTCTTTATTTCGACCTCAGTAGGAGTCGAATAGATTTACGAAGTAAATAGTAATTTGTAGTCAACAGACATAAAAGAACCGGCTGATCACCTTGAGTTAATATTGCAAGTGTCACGGGGTTAACCTTAAAAATAATAATTTATATAATTATATTGACCGATAAATGATGTTTCATTAAAAAAACAGTTACGTTACACCTAATTAATATTATTTCATTCAGACCATTGAAATGAATAGCATTTCATACTTGCCGCGCATGCAACGCTGTAGAATTGTCGCCATTATACAGCCAATGTTCAAAAGATATTATGTAATTAATACTATTGAATACTGTGATTGTCTAATAACTTTCATCAATCTTAGCCGAGCTGTGTTCTTTATTAAAACTTAATTACAATGTAATAGAATTTTTTTAAAGATATACCAATTAAGACATAATTCAATGTTCCAGTCGTAACTCGGTTACGTAATGGAATACTATCTATAAGAGTTTGAATTTTCAACTAATTAATAGTACTGTGTTCTCAAATCATTAAAACCTCAATTTTAATATTATAAGTAAAATATTTATGAGAATTTTAACAATTTGTTTTTTTTTATTTTATTTTTATTCTGTGCCAGTTGTACAAACAATAATAAACGTAAATTTATCGTCTGTTTTGTTTTTCATTCATGAACAGTTCCGACGTCCTGTCAAGGTTGAAAATAAATCAATCTCATTCTTGACAAATGTGACAAACGCGTCATCGCAACGCAACAAAAATATATTATTACATAATTAATATCTTGAATATTTTTGCTTTTAGACATCAGATATGTGATGTGTTTAGAAATAAAAGCGTTAGATATGAATTTATTTATTTTTTTATTTAAGGATAACAATTTTGAAATAAAAATTGTTTCAGAAAGGGAAATGATACGTATTTTTTTTTCTACATACGTTTAAATTAACCTTAAAATAAATATAAATTCACCTGTTTCGCTTCCTACGAATCCATAATCATAGCAACTGTCAAATATCTCTGATTTTCAAATTGAATTTTAACGTAACTCACAGCACTATCAGAATTTAATTAAATTCCAAAAAAGATTTAATTATTTAATAATATTCCAGATGCTATATTTGTTTTGTCTGACATTAAATATTTTCGCCCACATTTTCAATACAATAAACGTTACTCAAGGCAAACATTATAAGAAATGGAGGCGTACAGCATGTAATGATGACATACCTCATTAGTTCGACTTATTTATGAGCCACAGACTAAAAAAATCGCAAAAAACAGATTCGAAATTCGCAACAGATAATTAAAATATTTCAATCTAATTAAATATAATAAGCGGTGCAGATCGCCGAGGGTCAATCCGACCGCTCTCTTTTATTCAGGGATTTAATATAAAGGATATTACCAAATAACAATACACTTGTGGATCGTAATCGAAACCTTAATAATTGCAAAAGCGTATGTTCATGTAACCAGCTCGTAATACGAGAAAAACTAGCGGTTGTTATATTTATAACCTTATTATATATAAAATAGAGTTGATTTTGTTGTAATCCAACCTGAATCCTTTGCGCAATACGAAGTTTTTAAGCCGAGACCGACCAGTGGAACGCTATGCATCGTTGTACTAAAATCATCTGATCTTAAATATTAAGTCTCTACTAATTTCTTTGAAGACATTTCCTTATAACTGTAAATTTAGTTCGTAAAGGTACGATTCAATTACCAAACTCTCGTTTTAAACGGAAATCTACATAGATTTGTATCTATTTATAGTATAAAATGCCAGTTTATTATAAAAACCATCCAGCAGATGCAATATCACAACATTCACAGTACAATAGAAACGGCATTTCCTTTACAAAACAATAAGGAACGGCGCACGCACATGAGAACGTTTTCACTAGCCTTTGGATTTTAAAACCTTGTTCACAAAACAACTCATGGCAAGGGAATGAATCCATTCAGCTATTGTATTTAATAAATACCTTCATGTAGGCTAATTGTATTGTTTTATATACTAATAAGTCAAGTTATTACTCAACAAATTATGTTAATATTATATTTATTATGATTTTTTTAAGGTAAATGATTATAGTTGTTAATCTAGGTACATTTTTTCGAATCAAAACTACATATTTCCTTCTTCTTCTTCCCGGCAATTTCCCAGCTTTAGCTAGGGTCTGCCTTCCTAAAAAAAACTACACATTTTATTTGATAGTAATTACAACTGTCATATATTAAATTCTATGTTTTTTGTTTCGTATTTCGTCAGTGTAGTCCTAACTTTACAATCTCAATGTGAACAAACATCCATTGTTACTCGACCTATAGCCGTTTATCCAAATCAAGATTCGTTCAACTTATTCATTAAATTCCGTTTGTACAATGGTGTGTGAAAATTTTACTTCATCGATCACCTTTACCTAAATTCTTGTAGCCTATTAATTGATTTCACACTTTAAATTTACTGTGACTTTGTTTAAGTTTCTTTTGTAGGGATAGTAATGTAATAGTTAGCCTGCAATCATTCAAGATATGAAAAGGATAAAAACGTCAAATATGACAAGTATTCTATTTAAGTGATTGTAAGGGTCAATATATATCTATAAGGGTTATAATTTTATGAAATTTAAAACAATTTACACCCAAATATAACGTACTTATGTCATAGAATGAATATTGAATGACTTTTTAAATATATTCATTAATGAATCAAGATATTATAGTGTTATAGTGGTTGTATTTGAATGAAAAACTTATAGTATTTAAATTGCAAATACAATGACGTACCTACTAAAAATATGAGCAGTAAGTTATAATGTAATTCCGTACGTATATATGTATGTACATTTTATAACAATGCCGAAAATCTTCATTCATAACACGTACCTACAACCAAAGGATATCGATATTTATAATTCGCTTCTTGGAAAATAACTAATGGAATTTATAATACTCAGAATGTGATAAAGACCTTTGATGTTCCCGCGATTATTAATTCATAATTAGTTTCCACGAATTATTGGTTAATAAAAACACATTTAAAATTTCACACCTTGTAAAGAAATGTGATTATATTGTCAATCGAATTTAAAACTGTGGTTAATTGAAGCTAAATTGTATGTTCCTTCATATTAGTCGAAGATAAAAAATATATTAAATAACTTCATATTTAGGTATACTATAATCTTGCAATAAATTTAAACACTCACGAATACTTGATGCAAAGTAACCGAAACGTCGGGAGTATGTTGTTTTAAAATAATAAAAAATGCGTAGTACATCCAAAAATATTAGTTTTATTTAAATGAATACTCGCGAAAATCTTAGCATTATGCTCACACTTCAAACATTTATAGTATTAAATTAATACTTCAAAGATTTATACACTTTCCTTCATTAGAGGACAATACGTAAATAAAAAAGTATCTTTTCTGATTTATATTTATCATTTATAAATCGGATATCTTGTCAAAACAATTACGATCCATACAATGTTTGTAAATCAATAGAAAAATATAACTGTCAATCGAATATTACAGTAACATAATCTAAAAACAGTATGAATTGATAGCATTATAATTTGTAACTGTTATTTTGTTGTGGTCGCCATTTTAAATATTTGAAACAATTTTATTTATTTTTTTATTTTGGCAACCCTTTTCATTTAAATAAAGTTAATATTTTTCGGATGTACTACATAATCGATTTTATTTTTTTATTTTTGCTGTAAAGTAGCCGAAACGTCGGGAGTATGTAGTATTTTACAAAAAAAAAAGCACGCTTAGTATATCCGAAAAAATATTGGTTTCATTCAAATACAAGTATTATTCTTACTTTTTATTGTTTGTATGTATTTTGTTAATTCAACAATTAAATATATATTGACGCAACTTTCTTTAAGGTCACAACAGATCCGATAGAATCTAAGACATGTGAAGGTTATATTATCTTCTTGTGAACTATTGATTTGGATTTAAGAAACACTGTTTACATTTAAAACGTCAAGAAGGTTTTACCTTATACTATATATTCTGAGATTGAATGTATGTTCATTGCTAATGTCTTTAATAATACCACACAAGTCGAAATCAAAACCACACCACCGCAAATGAAGGCATTACGAAATTTAGAATTGTAACTAATTCATAGAAATATAGTCAGAAATATCAGAACTATAGTCTTATTTTTAGATTCGCTTAAAAAAAAAAACAATTAATGTATATGAAAAAAAATATCAAATGTTTTACGTTGTTATAAGCAGTGATGGATAAATTTTATTCTCTTCAATAGTTGCTCATCTACGTTTTTAAAATGCCCAAACTGTTTGTAGTTCCTAAGCTTAACATTGTTAATATTTTGGCAACTCTTAACACTTTTTATATTATGTTTTGTGACGATGGTAATGACCTTGCAAGGTTGTATAATAACGGTTTAATTCAAACACTTGTTGCTAAACTGCAGTGTAGTCACCTCGCAATGACTTGAGTTCCGTTTTTGCATAACTTTTTATTCTTACTAATATTGTTACATGAGTATGGATGATAAAAATAAAGGCAAAATTATATTTATATTATTATTAATAATAAACAAATTCTATATAGTTTCCATTAAATAATTGAAAAGAAAAAATCCGGCACCCCTTGTGAGTGGACTCATATCACATATATTATATAAAAGGAAAATAAATTTTTCGTTCTTTAATTTACGAATAATATACTTCAAAATTTATTGTAAAATAAAAAAATATATAATAAATATTTTTTTATATTACTTACTCTCAATACTAATTTTAGGATATTGAACAAAAACTGCATAAAAAATAGCGTTTGGTTTTTCTAATAAATATTTTCTGACATTTAATGACTGTCAAATATTTTTTTTTGATAGGCTTATATGACATTTGAATCTCGTAAAACACTAGAAGCTAAACATTAAAAAACATATACATAAATTAATTATGATTGTTTAGTACAAATTAATTATTATTGTTTAGGACAAATCGAAAATCGATATTATGTCCAATTTCAAAGACATTCTAATCTAGAAAGTGCAATTCAAGCAACCGAATGCTCCAACTGAAATAATTCCGTTGACATAAATCCATTCACAAATTGCATTAGTTTAAAACGAGTTACTTTTTATATTTACACAAGCAATAGTTTAGTTTCTGGTTCGTATTACGGTCGTTCCACGCATCAGAAAGTTGACAGCATTCCTTTTACTATATATGTTTTACACGCATCGTTGTATTGCAAATGGGACGAGAATGATAGAGACGAATATAATATCTATTTATATAGTGTTAAGGTTCATAATTAATGTTATGATCACGTATTTTTCACGCACGCAATACAAGTGCGTTATAGTCTTTGAAATGCAAATGTTCCCAACACCTGTGATTACGCAACCGGAGTTATCGACGTCTAAGGTCGGTGCAGTTTTCACAGTTCAAATTAAATCATATTATATATATTTCCACTATTATTATGTTCGTTAATTATTCGATGATATAACGCATTTGTTGTTATGTATTACGTTGGTGTTAGATTTATTGAATTATTATATCTCCAGTACATATGTCGATTATTGATTACACAATGAGCCATTCTCAAGATTTTTTACATAGTATTGTGTGGGTGTGCGTTTTTATTTCCTTCTTATTGGTGTATAGGTATTTCTCGAAAATTATTTTGTTATTATATGCGCATACTTAATGTTGTTTTGAAGATTCTTGAAAGATGAGGATTTTAAGAAAAACATCGGCTCAATTAATGTATTTTGTTTCGAAGGTTTTGTTTACTTATTTCGTATATGTTTTTTTTAAGAACTCGAATTTGTTATTGCCAATCAGACGTTACCTAATTAGTAAATAATGCATATGCGTCAATAAAATAAAGCAAAAATAAATTGGTTTCTTTATTATAGGAGTTTTTTTATCGAGGCACGTATTTAATGATTCAGTATAGCACGTGTGGATCAAGCTGACATATATCATAAGCGTACCTGGTAATAATCCTTTCCCTTCCTTCCTATCGCCCTCCTCGACTTTGGCACCACCAGAATCAGCTTCAGCATTCTCCGTGTAAGCATCATCCTCACACCTAGCTTCATGAACTACCAGTAATACAGCGCACACACAAAACAATAAGATTCTTATAATCTCCCGCATTTTATTTAACTTTGGCAACTATTTGTCATTAAGGGCCATTTTTCACTGGTCGATAGCACATATGAAACGACCTAAAAGTCACATTTTCGCCGATTGCAACTGGCTATGTTTTCTTCAATGACATACGTGTAGCACATTAACATAGTATTGAAAGATATTGCACATTTATAATAAATGTATCACATAATTATGTTTAACAAGCGCGATTAATATGAATCGAGAGTGGACGGTGTTTTATTTGGTTTGAATTATTCGATCGATGTTTTTTTAGGTTGTAACGTGAGCGACACGAGCGTTTGCCGCGGTGTTTACGAAGGTACTATCGATATGGTGGGGCCGCCCCCACTCTCGCGCAGATGCCACGGGCCTTCAATCGACGATGCCTCTCATACTATTACCGTTTAGTTCCTAATGACCAGATAAGCTATCTCGAGAAACTGCGGTCAGCGTAATTGAACGTTCCCTGTACCGTTACTTTTAGTTGCATTGATAAGAAAATGATCTGTATTATTTAGAACTTTCTAGCGATGAAATGTGTATTTTGTTGAAAATACCAATAGTAGTTAGACCTATACAAAATATATGTACAAATCAGCCACCTATTTATATTTTTCTCTGTATTATAGGTACTCCTGTTACAAGACTAATTTATGTACATAAAATATTATATTAATCACATAATATGATCGCTTAATAAGTATATTCAAGGCAGAAAAATGTTTAATTAAATATAGAAAGATTTATACCAATTGAGAAATCTGTATCGATGCAATAATTTTCATTCCCTTGTTATTTATATAAAACTTTTGTTTTATAACACAGAAGCGGGTTGACTATGTGGGAATTGACGGACAAAATTATTCTCACGACTCAATCTAGTAAAAAAACAGTTACTAAAAACCTTCGATTATTTTCTCCCGTTACAGGGAACGCCACGCCTCACGGTAATGGCGTAGTACATTCATCTGCGACACCGTCGATAAGCCGCAGCCTCCTATCTAATAAGGGGCACTGAGTACGACTAAGAAGCGCGTTTGCTTGATAGTCTTACTGAATCTGAAGAGATGACCACATTCCTCCTACATTCATACCCAGATCAAACCCAGCAAATGACTGAAACCTCCAGAAATTTCCACAAGCGAATTCATTTGTTGAGAACCGATTAAAAGCCCTCCCATTCGGCGTCTAATATTTACCGAACAAAACACAAACAACGCTTATAGTCGGATCTGGTCGAATCATTCTCATTCAGATTGCACTCTATGTTACAGGCCAAACCAAAACAACCAAACAACGCAAATAGAGTAGAAGCTTCTAACATAAAAATATACATTCAATTAAGCCAAACAATCCCCATAGACATCGGGAACAAAATTAGAATGCTATAATAAAAAATTGACGGTCGAGTGTCCAGCGATCAGATAAATGGAGTCAAAAAGGTCTAGATTGGAGATGGACTTTAAGTCGACGTGGTGTAGGATTTCCAGGATGATAGATAGGCGATTTGAGAAAGGTGGCAGGAAGCGGCGTCATCGTATACAAAATTTACATTTTGATAAGTATCTACTGCATAAAAAGAACTTATTATTTCTCCATCCTTTCCCTGTTCCCACCCTTTCCTTCCATTAACTTATTCCCACCCCTCCCTTTTCCTCAATAACCAAGGCTGGCAACGCATCCGCTACATCTCTTATTATAAGAGATGTAGCGGATGCGTGGTCAGTTTTCTAATATAATTATGATAGAATATACTTTTTTAAGTCATTCTGTATACTTAACTCATTTAACCAAAATTTTGAAATCGGTCACTTTCGTTCTCAGCGTGCGTTATGTTGCGAATGTCCATAGGCTTATAGTCAATAGTGATTACTTCCTACCAAGTACTGTTGACTAGTTTGCCAAATTTCTCATAAAAAAAATATATTCGTAATCACTTAACATTAACATTTTCAAAAGAATGAAGTCATTGATATTGTTTATAATTCCTATTTTTAACTAATTTAAAAACAGATCCTTGTAATTAGTAGGGATATTATTATTATAATCGATGTACCAACATCAGCAGCCATTAACGGGTTCGCGGTTAGACAAAATAAACAGTAATCTAAAGTATTGATGAATAAAAAAGGTAAAGTAAATCCCAAAATGATAGTTCTATTTAAATACAGTGAGTAAATACGTGAGTACACTCACGAGTCTTAGACAATACTTATCACTAACTAAAATCGAGGATTGAAATTCAAGTAAATAATTTAAAAATAGATTTGAGAAATGATATTCAACCAAAAATACCTACTAAGTAATTTTAATAATACAAATGATCGTCGAATTTATAATTTGAAACTAACACTTAATAAAGTGTAAACTAATTTTTTTAAAGTAAATTTCTATGGTTGTCATGTATACTTGATATGAGTCATATTTAATTTTATGAATTAAATCCCAATTAAAATGTAATTTACTTCTATGTCATTTAAACAATGCGTTCATATTAAATTGCTAGAACGTAGGTATCTGTGCCTACGACGTCGTCGGCGCGGCAGAGTAATTTTTATAAAATAATGGTAATCTGCAAGTGGCAGTCATGTCAAAGTCGGATAATCTTCTATATATATAAAAATGGATTGCTGTTCCTTAGTCTCGCTAAAACTCGAGAACGGCCGAACCCATTTGGCTAATTTTAGTCTTGAAATACTCCTGGAAGTCCAGGGAGGGTTTAAAAGGTGAGAAAAATTGGAATAATCGCCAGGAAAACCCTAAAAACAGCCTTTTTCTATTTCCCATACAAACGATTTTTTGACATAAGACTTGATAACTAACTAATATGTCAATCATTCTGTTCGATTGAAACAGTAGAAATTTAATAAATACCAAAACCGGGTTATTGAAGACGGAATAGAGTTTGCCCGGTCAGCTATACCTATATTACTAATGACGAAATTAACGCGGACGAAGTCGCGGTCAAAAACTAGTCCGAAATAAAACACAAAGACGAAATATTAATAAAAGAATGTTTTTTTCTGTATGAAAATATAAATATGTGCGGTTATTTAAATGTAACAAGCGAGACGGTAAAACTTTCTTTATTATTTTCTTTATATATACATATAATTCTTCTGTGAGTGTGTATGTCACTGAACTTCTCTCAAACGACTTGACCGATTTTGATGAATTTTTTTGTGTGTGTTGAAGGGGATCTGGGAATTGTTTAGATTCACAATTTTGTCCGCTGGACAATGTTTTTTTAATAAATTTTTAATTTATTAGTTGTTGTTGATACAAACTTTTTTTTGACATTAGATTTGACAACTAACTAATATGTCAATCATTCTGTCGCACTTCAAAAGACGGAGATTTATGCCTTTAATAGGTAAACTCCAAAAATATAAATAAAAAACGTAACAGATATTTCTTGGTTATAGGGCGATACGAAGTTCGCCGGGTCTTTTAGTATTGTATATTCTTTGTTGAACTATAATTTACAGAAAAATAAACAATGTATTAAAAAATCTGAAATCAAAGGTGGTCTTATGGCCTAGTGGCGATTTCTAGTAGACCGAAAACTAAAGAACATTTACTTAGACAATATAGCTGTACCTAGGTTTTAAATTTATTTAATAGAGACAAAAATACAACAGACACAAGTAACCAGTGACAGTCTAGGACTATAGTTAGCCAATCTAATTACTCTTCGTCCCATTTTATATATTTTTTAAATAGCTTTGTTATTTAAAAATAGTGAATACGTTTATAATAGGATTGTATATCCACCTACGACTCCATTTCCACTAGGGGGATTCTACGGGAAAGTAAACCTTGACGTAATTTTTTAAAGTTTTTCTTTTTTTTTAATTATTATGTATATCGATACAAAATACTTAAAATTGCACGATACTTTAAAAATATTAGTATATTAATATTTTTTTATTTTTTATTAAATTGCAAATTTGATTAATGAATTTAATGCTAATTTGGATCTGAAAAGATGCAAAGCTGTCAAGCTGAGTGTTTAAATCGTATACCTTGATCAGACCCAAGCTACTCAACTGACTCCCATGATGAAACTAGCATCCATTACAAGAAATAAAAACTTATAAGTGACTCCTTGTACCAAGTAAATCATACATGCCCCACCTGTGACAGTAAAAGTCCCACCCGTGACACACTTTATTTATTTTTTGTAAAAATATGTGTAAATAATAGAACATTATTTTCCATTCAAATGTGAAGTTTAGGTTATTGTCTCAAAGAAATATTGTAGTCTGTATTAAAAAGTTTTATCAACTAGCTGAGTTTTATTATATATGATGCATGTGTAACAAGAATGTCACAACTTTGTCCCAGCCGTGACAAACATTTACTGTCTTTTTTATTAAATTTTACCTGGTGTTATTCCCGTCTTTATTGTACCTATTAAAGTATATAGATAAATTTATTATATTCTATATAAACCAATTAGATATCATTGATACAATAGGCGTAAATAAGCTACAAACACTGAAAATCGAGGTATGAGTGTCCCACCCGCGAAGCTAGAATCCCCCACTACCTATCTCATAATGATGATCAAGCACTAATCAATTTTCAGTAAAAAAATTATAATTTGGGACTTGCTTTTACCCACTCACCGAGGGAAATATTGGATAAGTCATCGGGTTCACAACACATTACATAAACTCTATTATTATATATTTGTACGAAGGTATGTATCTATATAATGGATATAAGGGATTATAGAGTTATATTTTGAATAAGTTAATTATTAATATAGTTAATCATTCCTTTCTCATGTATGTAAAAACTAATTATTATATTTCATTATCTTGGTGGTTAGCTATCGAAAATTCTTTTAGCATTAAATCTGCCTTTGCTCATCTTTATGGCAATAAGGAATAAATAAGTCAACTTATCCTTGCTTTTGTGATTGTTTTTTAATTTTGTATTATAAGAAAATGTTTACAAATTATTCATGTAATTACAAAAGGTATATCTTATTACAAACTCAACTTTTTCTTGAAAACAAAAACAGAGAAACATTATTTCATTTGTTGAACACATTTATAATACAAAATAAATGTATCTTTTTAATTCAAGGCTTCATAAAAATTATACATATTCATAATATTTTTTCTGACACAGAAAAAGTGGGTGATATCTCACTGAATGCAATCCTCTTATAATCAACATCTTGAATTATTGGTATCATTAAATAAATGGCTTATATTTGACTAGTCATATATGGAATACAATAAACATTTTTATTTAACCTTCATAACTTATAAGTAACTCAAATAAATACAAATAACCAATAGATTTTTCTTAGTTTGTAATAACGCTATTGAAAAGGTTAATCTATTTGTATATGAAAATAATTACCAAATAGAAAAATTACAGAAACACGTGAAATTTTGTAAGCCTGAGAAATATTTTTTTGTTAATTTTAGCAGACGTGTATTAAATTTTATTATATTCAATGGGAATTATGCAAAAGCCTTAAGGTTCAACATTTTTGCTTGCCCAATTTGTATATCGCCCTATAACATACTTCCTTACACTACGTAAAGTTAATTCATTTTGATACGTCATTATTTACTCAAGCCTACTACATTGTGTAATAACTTCTAAGTAAATAACAAAGGAGACATCCAAATAAACAAACTAAAAGCAATTGCATTATTATATCAAAGTTCAAACCCAAACAAACAAAAGATACCATCAAATGTCAAAAAGACAAATAGATGACATAAGTCTTCATCTATTTGTCTTGGATAATTGTCAAATGAGCAAGTAATAAACGCCTTAATATTCATTTAATTATTTTTTAAAATAAATACGGAAAAAATGTCAAATCGTAAATTTGTTATTAAATAACAATCAATCATATTCACTAAGGAACAAACACTTTCTTTTTACATTTTAATCATTTATCTATAAACTGATCACCCACCCACCTCCTCCCTTCTACAAAGCAGGAAATGACTTCCATCTTTTTGACTTGTATTTATGTTTGAATTCTTTTGGTCAATTCATTATAACATAAAATTTCGATATACATTTATATTTGGTTTAAATAAAAATTACAACTTACATAGCATTATTCAAAATACAAAATGGCGGACGGATTACTCTCTATACATTTCTGCAATACGGAGACTATTGCTTAAAATAAGTTAAGTAGTCGATTACAAATTATAAAAAATAATGAAAAGATTGCTCTGAATTAAATATGGCTAGCGGCTGAAAACAGTTGAGTAGTAAATTTTTGTACTATCCATAATACGGATATCAATTTAAATAATCTCCTAAGGACATTGTGACATTCGACAGTCTTATTAGTTTATGAATTTGTAAACAACAACTTTCTACATCTTTATTTGCTTACATTAAAATATATTAGTTGTAATCATTCCTCAACTACTTTAACATATTATTACTCATATTCTACGCCTTTATTGCTGTTGCAATATTAATACTATTATTCGATATTTGTTTCGTATGAAATAAATTTTATAGGCTGAATATTTAAAGACATTAAACAATAAACAACGAAGGCCGCCATGACAGTAAATGTAAAAATTATTTATTCTAGTCTAAATCGTATCCTAACCGTTACTAATATAATAGTTTCATAATAACAACTTAGGCGTTAAAAAGACAAGGCTCTCTATTGTCTACATGTCACCCCATAAAGTTGGCGTGATAACTTCATTATTTTTTTATTACGGGGAGCTCAACAGTGTGACCGAAACGCCCCCATTCAGAGGCTCTAATTGAGACATAAAAATTAGGGGTTTCTATTAAACGTTATTGTGCCACAATATATACTAGTGTCGGACACACGAGACATTTATCGATAAAATAAATGTTATATATTATATCTATTTCTATATTTAATAATTTTATATATTAATCTTATTATAGTTTTAAAACTAAGTAGGGTACGTATTTATTATAAATTATTTTAAAAGACAGTATTAGCTATAACATTTTAACAGTAAGTAGCCATGACAGTGTTGCAATTATCAAAATCGTGATTTCTTAAGCACACAGGCGTATGTTTCTTTGTCTTTACTAAATACTTTTTGATTTTTTGCACAAGCCGTCGATTTGGAGCCAAAACTAGATAATTAATATAACTATCTAACTGATGTTATGTCTATCAATATCATTGCCACTATGATTTTTATTTAAGCGACGTTCTGTAAAGCATAAAAATATTATATTTCGCTGTTATCAAGACACATATTGTCAGTACCGCCTTTAACCGGGTGCTTAAAGTGTAGTATATGGATTTTAAAAATGCTAATAAGTATATACTTAAGAAATAAACTATTAACCAATAGAACATACTATTTCATACAAGACAACGATATTCCTTCATTTGGATCACACGCGATCGGGGGTTGAAAAACTATAAATACTATCAGTTTTATATGAAATTTCTTTATTCGAACGACAGCAGTTCATTCGAGTACAATCAACATGTTAAAATCTTTGCTTAATTCTCTTGAAGACCCAACAAGACCTCTGCTTGGTCCCAATTATTGGATTTTAAAAAATATGGGTCTAGTTTTGCCGCAAAATCCAATAGCGAAAGTGGCTTATATTATTTTGCACGAAGTTGTCTCCTTTTTCGTCCTCACACAGTACATGGAGTTGTACGTAATAAGATCAGACTTAGATCTCGTGCTGACCAATCTTAAAATATCAATGTTGAGTATAGTGTGCATTGTGAAAGCTAACACGTTTGTTATTTGGCAAGTCCAATGGAAGCAAGTCATCGATTATGTCACGGGAGCTGATCAGTTCGAGAGAGATAACGAATCGGTTGATAGACGCAAAATAATAGATTCCTATACAAAATACTGCCGTAGGATTGTCTATTTTTATTTCGTACTAGTTTTTACTACATTCATAACGGTCACACATACGCCATTGATGAGATATTTATCGTCAGCCCAATACCGAGAAGCCTTGAGGAATGGGACGGAACTGTTTCCTCACATCTTCAGTTCCTGGATGCCGTTTGATAAATACAACTCTCCAGGGTCCTGGATCACAGTTATTTGGCACGTTTGTCTCTGTGCATACGGCGCCGGGATTATGGCGGCCTATGATACAATCATTATGGTCATCATGGTATTTTTTGGGGGCAAACTGGATCTCTTAAGAGAAAGATGCACACATATATTTGAAAACACAGAAATTTCATCTCACGGTGACCAGATAGATGAGAAAATTAGAAAACTGCATACCATCCACGACCTTTTGATGAAGTAAGTAGTATTATTTACTATGTTTCCATACTATATGTATATATATATATATATATATATATATATATATATATATATATATATATATATTGATATTGCAAGATAACTTATTTATGGAAAGAAATGTTTTAGACGTCTTAAAGAATGCTGTTGTAAAGTACAGTTATTTATATTTTCATTGTTGAACCTATTACCTAATTATGACAACTATTTTTGATTTGTTTAAACACAGTATCATTCATCATCATTTAGATTAGTAAGTGTTAATTATAATTATCCTTGTTAAGATCAATGGGAATTTAATTCTAAACATAGCACTTCGTATTTTTAAGACATCAATCTTATGTTTTCATCACATTATTAATAATATAGCTTTATAAGCAGATTAAAGCTTGGTTGATAAAGAAGTTTAAAACCTCTTTAACGAATGATTAAACATTAAGTGACCTGAAAGAATCGCAATTTTTCCTCTGAATAAACATTATGTAAGTAATCAGACCTCAACAAAGTGAGATTCTAGCAAGAGTAAGCCATTAATATACTTTTCTCTGTAATCCAAATAAGTAATCAGACCTCAATATAGTGAATTTCTAGCAAGATTACAGGAGTTATATCCTTTTCTCTCCAATCCAAAAAGAAGGTATTGTGTTCCAAGATAAAATCTAAGTATATTATTTTATATTATGAAGTTAAATATCACTGACCTCACAAATGTGTTATACAGTTGAGGTTTTCGTCTAAAATCATAGTTCATACTTTTACAAAAGGGTCATCTTTGTAACCCTGGTTCTATATTAACTATTTATCATTTTTTTTATATTCGTTTCAAGAGAAACAATATGAATATGTTCAAGATAGATATTATCCTTACATAATATTTTACGTTTTTGTACGTAGTGTGAAATACATCAGACGTGTTGAATTCCCCAATACAGTGACTGTTCTTGATAAACATTAGATGATTCCAAGAAAATATGTAAACTTTAATCAAATCCATTCTATAAAGACTCCTCTTTACATGACATGTCTCATGAATGCAAAATAATTACTTTTTAAATTCCTTTTGAGGGGTTTTGATGATTATTTATTTTTACTTGCGCATGTACTTTTAATAGATCACATGTAAGTGTATAGAGACATAAAGTAATATAGCGAATATCTTATCAATTAATAACTGATGTTTCTAATTTAATGAGTAAACAAACGAAAAAGGAACTTGTCCTTCTCACGTATATATAGCATAGCTGTTATTATTTTTGTAAACGATCAACTACTCTATTAAAAATTCATTGTCATATAATATGTTAATAGGATTGTTTCATACAATATTACTGTAATTTATATAAAGAACTAAAGCACCTTCTAAATAAAATTCTTATGAATAGGTAAATTTAATACATACCTTCGTGGGTGATAAAATATATTGTGTCTCTATATTTATAAAGTTGTCTCTTCAATCTATATAGTATTTTTTTCATTTCAGCTCTAACTGACTATACTGCCATTGAACAAACGACACTTATTCTTATTACATCGATATTAACCACAATTATTAAATAAAAAATGTTACAATAAGTAATATTCATGAACACATTTTTTAAGTATTTTCGTTAAAATGTCAATAAATTATATGAAATATTATAATATCGAATCTTATATAAAATTTTCATCGATATAAACTCCGAACTATCCTGTTACTACTGTCACGGGACGCGACTATGACGTAACATATGACTTAACGACTAAAATATATAATTATAACACATATTACTACTTAAACTATAAAAATATATGACGATTTTATCTCTATTTCAGACATTCAAGGCTCTTCAATTCATTATTGTCACCGGTAATGTTTTTATATGTTGTAATGTGTTCTTTAATGCTTTGTGCAAGTGCATTTCAACTTACCGTAAGCATCTATTATTTATTTCAATGTTATCTTTTTTTTATATAAATTAAATAATGTTACTTCTTGCAGTCGGCTACTGATACTACACAAAAACTTTTGATGGCGGAATACTTGGTTTTCGGGATAGCGCAATTATTTATGTTCTGCTGGCATAGCAACGATGTTCTCGTTAAAGCAAGTACACAAAAACAAAGTTTTTAATTAAATACAATAATCATGTAATAATCTAAAATATAATATATTAATATAGAGCGAAAAAGTAATGTTGGGGCCATATGAAAGCGAGTGGTGGACGGTAAATTCAAAGCAAGCGCGCAGTATACTCATTCTGACCGGTCAACTGCAGTTGGATCATACGTATACAGCCGGCCCCTTCACACAACTGACTCTGTCAACTTTTATCACTGTACGCGCGTCTTTAATTTGTTAATATATTTACCAGCTCCATTATATCAATATTAAAAATTCTGTTTGTGACTTTTCAAGGTTATGCCGCTATATTTACAAGAAAAAAAAATGTTTTCTGGAATTCAAATTATTAAAATTCAAATTAGGCTCTATTTATTTTAAAAGAGAGAACGTTTTGTAAAAATAAAATGTATCTTTGTGTATGAAGTGTATCTTTGCTTTCAGATCCTCAAAGGCGCTTACAGTTATTATACTCTTCTAAGGGAATAGAAAGTAGTCTTGCACTAAATATTTCTTAAAACATTAATTTCTTCTTGATACAGATTAAAAATAATTTCAGTATCAAGATGTATCACACAGCACCTAGAAATTATAAAAGGTTTAAAATGTTCTGTTTGTTTTATTTAAAACATTAAACAAGATTTAAATTATTATTATGATATGATTCCAAAAGAAATCAATACTGGTTAATGAATATTTTTCCTAAGGATATTGATGGTTTTATTAAAGTTTCGTGTCATTAACAACATCTTTTATTAAAAATACGTATGCAGATGTGAGAACACTTTATCCCTTGTAAAATAGTAGTAACATAAATATAAACCAAATAATTCAACTTATAAAATATAGTGCATCATTATTCAAACTTCTGCGAATTAAACTTATTTTACCGGGTAGTTTGTTACTTGTTATTATACTTCGAAGGGATAGTTGCCAGTAGAAAACTATTCACTAGAAATTAAAAGCATTTACGAAAAAATTTACATTCTATTCGAAACAAGTTGCACCGTCACTTAATAAAATTACTGGTATTAATAAAGAAATATATTTAACAAACGCGAAAATTTCAGCGGCATAAAGAATTCTCGCGTCTTAATGTTTTACTGTTATCTGCCGAACTTATTTGTATAAAAAGCAACAACTGCGCCTGGCTCGCCTTTTTAGTTTTGACATCTTTCTCTTTTGTGGGAATTTAATTACTGACGACATATATATCGTTTTAATATAAATATTTACAGAAAAAATATAAATAGAAGGTTTCTTTCACTGTTAAACTGATTTTGTATTCAAGAATACTTTTCAATGCGGTGTTCGAGAGTTCAATAAACTTGTAAGTCAGGTCTGCACGGAGGCCTTTTAGAAATGTCATTGGTTATTGGTATTAATAGCGGATACATAGTGATTTTCTAGTAACTTTCCTGGTTCTACTTAGTGATAAACAATTTGATATGGATAACCAAACAAATCAAGAAAGGACCGTGCCTATACAGTACGTACGTGGGTCACGAGCATTTCGTCAGTTTAAGAATCCACCACAGCCTCATATGTGCATTCAGGATACGATAAAGGACACGACTGAAAAATTGTATATTAATGTTTTAGGTTGGCAAAAAATTGCCAATCCAAAACAGTATTCAGATCCAATACCATTGTATGGTGGAATGCAGGTGAGTAATTTAGATTATTGACATCCAACAAGACTATAGAACTTGTTTATTAAATTAAATTTGCGTTTCTAGGTACACCAAGGGTGTGGTCCAAATAGTAATAAGCCACCCCTCTTAGTATTTGCTGTTATGGTAAACCCAGATATTTTAAAGGCCAATGGAAAAAATGCTGCAAACCCAACAGTAATTATTATATATTAAAATTTTATTAGTCTCATAATTATAATTGTCTTTTAGGTTTTTAATATATTTTCCTTAATGTCTGTATTAATTTTAATTAAGTTGAGAACAATATTATAGATATATTTATATTTAAAACAACTATTAAATCTTTCAGGATAGAGAGGCTCTCGTCAGTTTGCTCTGCGACTTTGTAGAGGCAATGAATCCTGGTTTAGTATTAACAAGGAACCCGATAATAATGAAAGACAAAGATATAACCGGGGAGCTCAAGGATGTCTGGCTGGCTGTACAGAATAAACGAGAAAGAGAGAAAGGGCTGAATCAAGATGTTATGTATAAGGTTAATAATTACTTCTTACAAAGTTTTGATGCTATCTTTATATGTAGGATAAATGTAGAATAATGTCATGGTTGCAATTCTAGAATCTATTCATTAGTTTTCTATTTTTAAGACAAATTTTATATGTATAACATATTTATCATACATATATGAGATATATAACGCTATATGGCTTAGGTGAGTGAAGAAATTAAGAAATGCTGTCCTAAATAGTATGTCAGACTTAAATAAGTATCTTAATTCAGATATTTCTTAGTTTAAATCTACTGAGACATTTTGTAACAAATTTAGTCTTACACAATTGGTTGCAGAAACTGCTAGCGATCCTTAAACAATAGATGACAATATTAACTGATTTTTGTTACTGGGCAAATTTCTTTCTTCATGTTTATATCACACAAATCTTCCTGGCTAAAGCTGGGAAATTGCCAGGAAGAAGAAGAAATCTTACTATTAATTTATTTAATGCCCTATATAGATATTTAAATTAATCCATTAAGAATTAGTAAGTAGATAGTTTCACCTTCTTTTGACTAGATAGTGCATGGCTGTAATTGTCATTCTACCTGTAGGAATGGGAAATGCAGTTATCGGTGGTGAATACACTATCTCAAACAAACCAATTGAATCACTTATCCTTCAAGTTACGGACACAACACTAGTTCCTATTAAGCAATAACATTTGTTAGAGTTAAAATAAACCCTTATGATATTTATAATGTATTACCTTTCCGCCCACAGCTTTGATCGAGTGGAGTTCGGTTAAAATCAGTTCTGTGGTTTAGGTGTGAAAGTGTAACAGACAGACAGACAAAGTTACTTTCCCATTTATAATATTAGTAGGGATGAGAGTTGATTTTGAGATTATGTATTAATAATCCTTATATACATTTCTCTATAAGAAAAAAAAAACATAATTAACTATTAGTGGTTCAGATTTTCAGAATAATTAAATGTTTCATATAAAAACACCAATCTTTAATTTTGTCACTGTATAATGTTGTTTATTTATGTAATGTGGAATATGTAGTATTGAAAAATAACATCATTATGTATAATTACAGGTTTATGACATTGATGGAATTGGATCCGAGGATGGTGTTGAAGATGAACAGGCTTTAAGAAATTGTCAGCAAAATGACAACGGCTCCCCTAATAGAATGCAGATGTCTGACAAAAAGAATACAGTTAAATCATCGAAACAGATACTCAAAAATGCTGGTCAGAAATCTGAATTTGACTCGGGAATGAACAACTATCAGCTGAACCAGAATCAGTCAAGTAGGGACAACGCAGACACCACATACTGCACACCAGTCTACGGCCAAATAGTTTCGAGCAGAGAAAATCACAATCAGATAAATGATATACAACAGAAATTCGCGTCAAACGAAATAACAAAACCATCAAGCTCATTCAAAAAGGACTGGCAGTCACCACATGGGAAAACCACAACGGGTTGGGACGAATTCTCAAAACGCAGTTTGCCGCCAAAAACAAACGACAAATACAAATCTAGAAGTGACAAGTCGAATAAGCCAATGAGCAACGGCAAGTCACATTACGACTTCTACCCAGTATTTGACAATAAAGCGTCGATCGTCGCCAATCCTGAATATTTGGACGCCGATAAGAACTCTGTTATAGAACAAGATATTAAAGATAATTCTAAAATTATTATAGACCCAATGCAGAAATTAGTTCTGCATTCGACTGATAACAAAATATGTGATAACAAAACAAGTGCTCTCAGCTCATTTAGCTCATAATTATTGTAGCTTTTACAGGTGACTTTTGTATGGTATGTATTGGCTTAATGTTGTTTATGAAGTATGTATTAATGGGATGTAGGAGGAAAAGTTTATGGTGGCTAGTCAAGTATGTGGACAATAGATGCAGAATAGTTACAGATCAAATAGTATTTTCAGTGTATAATTCTCTTATTTTTTATTAGTTTGTTATATTATGCGATCGTTCCAACAATATGAATCTTAAATACATTTGTATCCCATGTGTTAATGTAAATCAGAGTGAGCCCTGTGGTATTGTATTGAGTTTGTTGAGTGCTAAAGACATAACGGTTGTGTATTTTTCTTAGTATTTTACATAGTGGTACCCCACACCGTAACACATTATATATTGTATAATGATAATTTTTGTAAATTGCTATATTTTTCATTGTTGCCAATTTTATAAATGTGGTTATAATAAATTGGACATACATATAAATTTGTAAAATCATTGCTCATTATAACATTTGTAATGTTGTTCAATCTTTGACTGTTGTTGTAGCCAGATGGTTTGCATTTGAAGATGTTTTGCTTAGTGTAATAATGATCTCTTAATTAATATTGTTATGAAATTCATAATTCTATGTGAATTCTGCCCACGACTATCCAACACTGCCAAGTGATGCTTCATTCCCCTAGCACATGTATTTGTAACACATTATTTTAAATCGACACTCAAACTTTTAAATGATTATATTAAATGTTTGTTATATAGATTATATTCAAAGATAGTTTACAAATAAACTTTATTGATGTGCAATTTTATATATTTGTTTAGAAGTCAGAATTACTCCATGAGAACAACTTATGCTAAATATCTAAAGCAAAATTTTATATAAACAGACTTTCCTTAATCAGGCTTACAAATAGCTATTTTATTATTTTAATATCATTGTTTTATAACTAAAATTTTGTATTGGTATATGTGAATTAAATATTTTATATTTCAACAAGCTATTCAAAATGTTGGCATGATACTAAATTATTTGTAAATATTGTAAAATATTGGAGACAATACTATCGAAGCGGTGATTTGACCAGTAGTTATAGATAAAACAAAAGTAATTCTGACAATCAATAATTGAGTTCATTATGTACAATCCTCAATTTTATTAACATCATATGAACACAAGGCAGTTATATATTGTTGTATGTAACCTTCTCTATATATCTTTATAAATCTATTAAATGAAAACATTTTATAAGAAAATAAATAGCTATGTTATATGTTATGTTATGAACAAGTGGGTTTTTGATATGTAACCGAGGCATGACATATTCACTTTGCATTTATTTTTTTTTATTATTATTTTTTTGTGTATATTTTTCGACATGGCACTTTTAATGTTTAAATTTAATTAGATATTTTATATTTAAAAAAAAAGTTTTTTTTGATTTATAAGCAGTTATAGATTTTTATCAGGATTTAGCTATTACACGCAGTTAATATTTGTTCCTGTGCTATCAAATACTTTGTATACCTTTAGTTTTTAAATGATTTTTTTTATGATTTTTTAGCCTATGTAATTCTGTAGCTAGTCTTAAATTCGCAATATTACCTTATATTAGCATTTATTCCTTTACTATGTAGTGAAATAATTGGAACAATTCTTGAGATTTGTGTAATAATTTAAAGTAACCTTATTAGTTTACGTACATTATTTGAGTGTCCTTAGAAGATCTGCGTACGTTGTACTTTACGAATATAAAGGAATTAAATATCGGATCTCTTGTTTACCTACAGTATTTAAATTACATGTCATTTACAAGACTGGTTCAGTTGTTTTATTTTATCCCAAAGATGTTATACTATCTTGAATTTCATCTATTACTTTGTTAATCACTTACTACTTTTTTCATAATAAATATGAAATATTTAGAGAGGCTGAGGCTGACGACATTCTTTTAGAACACGACAGTGCATTGTACTAACACGGTAAACTTAACTTAGGAGTTCGAAGTTACTACTTTTATTAAAACACTATTTTATTTTATTGTTTTTTAGATTTAATAATACTTATTATTTAAGTAAAACCAAGTAAATCTACACCAATTTTCCGTCCCTTTGTAGTTTGTAGCATGTTTTGATATTACCCGGCTGATAAGTAACTAATGTGAAAGGCGATTGCCAAAAATGGCAGAGGAGTCAACGCTAATGTGGCAGCGACAATGAATCATATCTGACAATGTATCTGCATTTAAATTTCTTATTACTCTCAGGTAACGTGCGAGTTTGTGTGTTTCAATAAGTATAAAAAAAATTATTGTGATCACTATTTAAGAAACTCATGTTTTGTATCCCATAAATACAAATATGGAAATTAAAATGTAGGTAATGATGATTGAAATATTTCTGCTCTTATACTGATTTCTCATTATCATGCTCAGATTAGGGTTAATAAATAAGTTTACATTGAAAATATGGTTTTAATATTCTCACAAGCAAAGTACCGTGCAGGTGAACATTCTGTCACAAATTGTAAATAAAAAACTGGCTGCAATGTAATTGTAACTCATCATAATTTTTAACTTAAAGAAATGCACATAGAGCAAAATATTTAGTATCTTGTAAGTATTTAAAAAAATAAACATAATTATTACAATACGAAAAAATATATATACCTATATTATTATGTCGCTAAAGAAAAACTATTTTTATATGAAGTCATATTTTATTTACGCCTTACATGGCTTTTATGTGAGATATGAAACGGAAAAGGTAAATGTTATAAAAATATAATTAATAATTTGGGAAATTTTAATCAATATTTTAACTATTCCTGTTTTTATTATATTTTACTATTTACTGTGATAATAATAAATATTTAGATTTTTCAAATGTTAGAAATATCATGTAATGAATGCATTGAAGTCGAACGGTTTGAACTTAATGTTAAAATCTAATAAATAATTAATACACTACTCCATTTGAAAGATACATTATTTATTTAAATAAGGCATATTCGAAAATCAAAGTGTATTCAAAGCTAGAACCCAAATCAAATGATAAAAAAGTAGTTTTCCCGCGTAAAGTCAGTTAAACTTCAAAATATAGTGTGTTACTCGTCATTCGTAAAATTTTATAACTTTTGAATTGTGTCATAAGTTTTGATATAACAGGAACAGTCGTTTTAGGATTTTAATTTTATAAATACATTTAAGACCAAACTATGGCTGGGATCAAATCTAGTTAGTTTTTCGACTTATAGTATATATATTTTTTTGTAAAACAGTGGCAAGTGATGAAATATAAACATACATTTTTTACAGCTCCAACTAAATCCAAAACCAAAAGCTCCCGTTCTGGTCTTACCTTTCCTGTTGGACGAGTTCACAGAATTCTACGAAAAGGTCGATATGCTTCTAGAATTGGTTGTGGTGCAGCAGTGTATATTTCAGCTGTGCTTGAATATCTTTCTGCTGAAATTTTAGAATTATCTGCTAAAGCTGCTCAGGATAATAATAGGGCCAGGTATGTCTTATACATTGGGATATCATACTTTATATATAAGTATGTATTTTTATGTATTTGAATTTATTTATAAAACATATGTATTATTTTGTTTATACACGGAATTATATGTTATATATAACATGTATTAATCGTATGTATGTATGTTATGTGGATATGTTATATATGATTTACCTAAAAGATGAACCCCTAAGAGTATTCAATGTCCTCTATACAAAGGTTGTCTGGAAGAGATCGCTCTTTTAGCAATAAGACTGCCTTTTGTACCGTGTTTTCTATTTTATTGTGTTGCTTCTTGTATTTATTTTTTGTTTTAGTGTACAATAAAGTATATTTATCTTATGTCAGTTTTTAAATTGCATTTGTAAAGATAAAGTTGATATTGGTAAAAAAAAATTGCTTATATCCATTAAGAATCAAAAACTTATCAGAAACAAATCAAATTTGGCATATTTGTGTCAAAATAAATTACTGAAGCTATATTTATGATGAATGCTATATCAAAATGTCTGGTTATTTCAGAATATTGCCGAGGCACATAATGTTGGCTATAGGCAATGATGAAGAACTAGACAGAATGCTGAGTGGTGTAACTATATCTCATGGTGGAGTGATGCCGAGGATTGAACCTGAATTACTACCCAAGAAAACTACCATTAAAAGTCACACTAACGACACATCAATGAAAGCATCCCAGGAGTATTGAAACCTTAATTTATAACTTATGTTATGTTATAGATTTAGGTTTAATTTTTGTATAAATTTACAAAGTTAATTCCACATTATTTGTAATAAAATATTATTTGGTAAACAATAGTACCGCTACATATAAAGGTACACAATGTGTTAAAATTATAAATGTATTTTTTTTATTAATAAATAAAATTTTGTGTTCTTTAATGTATGTTCGAAACTCAGAAATTATGTATATGTAATAAATATGTCAAAATGTAATGTTTAACTAAACTTTAGTAGTAATAAAATTTGATGGGAATTTTTATTGATTACTTTTGATAGTGAAATTAGTTAATTTACCAGTTGGTTACAGAATAACTCACTGAAGAAAACGAATAATGGTTTTTTTTTGTGATGAATAAAAAGTTATTTAAAAAAAACTCATGTTTAGTATGTTATTAAGTTTCTTTAGAGCACAAATATACTTCATTAAACATAATAGAATAACTATAAAAACAGTAGAAGTTATAATGACGCAATTGTATTAAATTAAAAAAGCCAGAAAATGCCCTACATCGTTATAAGATGATTTTTGAAGATTTCTTTCAAATAAGAAAACTCATTGAAATCAGTTGATCTGTTAAGAATTACGTCGATTTTGATTACACAGACACAAATACATTGATGTCAAACATTACATCCTTTTTTTTCGTCGGACTTAAAAATTTTATACTGTGAAAGCTCATATTTAGACCTTATGGTTTTTTATCATATTATTCCTAGTTCTCGTTATTTAACTTAAAATACTTATAATCGAGGATAAGGACCGACCATATTTAGGATAGCAAGTTAGAAGTTCTGCCGTAATTTTAGACTAGATTTTCAAGTGCATGTGTAATTTTATTGGTGACGAAAATCAAATATATTTGTTAGATTGGAGAATGATTTCAATATATAATTATATACATAATATACTATTTAAAATAAATATATCAAAAGATATGTAGAATCGATACAATTTAATGGAACATTTTCAATAAATATAATATTTAGTTTTTTAAAACTAATATTATCAAAAACTTCTAATTACAACCTCACACTAACCGTGTGTCATAAAATGATTCGAATAAGTCTTAACTTTTGACTTTGACCAAATTAATTACACATTTCATAAAGGAACAGGTACATTTTATTCAAATTTAGTAAATAGGTACTTAGATTTTTTATGTTACTACGCTGTTATGAATATATCCGGTTATACAATTACAATAATTTATTTATTATTTCTGGATATCCAATTATAACAATGGGTATACTAAAATCTCTTATCCAAAACTATACATGAACACAAAATGTTTATTGTTTAATATTTGATTACTGTTGAATTTAATTTTAGAATTTAAAGTGCTTTCTTTTTTAGTAGATAGATGTCACTAAAGAACTAACTTTAAACATAATAAATAAATTAGAATACTTATAGAAATAAAGAATTTTTAATAAAAATTAGTAGTGAAGATAATTATAAAAAATACAATAAAATTTTAAAAAGCAACTCTGATAGAATTGCTCTGAATTTTACCCCTTGCACTAGGTTTTTCCATTTCCATACCTTACTGTTGATTTGACAGATGTGAAAATTTTGCATTGTTGATATTAAATTGTCAGGCTGTGGTCGACCGGCAGCGTGACGAACTTTAATATAGTTGTGAATTATTTTTGTTTAATTTATCTTAAACATTGTTAATAAAACTAGAAACTAGTTAAGAACATATTTAATGTTAATACATTTATATATTTTATGAATGGTTAAGATCGTAATGCGATTTGTTATTCGCAATAGGTTATCTTTTTATTAAAAGTTTATAATATCAAGTATAATGCGAGGTGGACATAGAGGTGGTCGTGGTCAAAGCCGTGGAAATAGAGGTTTCAGAGGTTCGAGAGGTAACTACTCACGTGGTGACAGGCAAAATAATTCGGGGTATAATAATTTCAACAAGCCATGGCATTCACAAACCAAACGTGATATTCCAACTAAACGATTATCTGAAGAGGATATTGGAGTTACAGAGTATCTCAGTGAGCATCAAGGATTTAATGGGATTATTAAGTCCAGGTAGGTTTAAACAAGTTGAAAATTTTAATTGTAATATTCTTTACTGTCATTTGAAATCATTTAATAACATTTAAATATAAGTGTAGTGATAATTTAAAAAATCTATTTATTGTAGACATTTTTCATGAGATGTGTTATACAAAACAATTATGTTGATTTATTAAAAAATTAAAACTTATTTCATATTATTACGTACCTATGCTTTTTTCAAATTTGATAGTCAATTACAGATTATAAATACCAATAATTAACTGCTTACAATATTCCATAATGCAAATAACATATACATAGTTATAATTTGGTAGATTTTCAGATTTTCAAGTGTCGGAAATAAATGAGGCCGGTGAAGTTGCTCAGCTTACCGATGAGTCTCCTCCGGACGCACCATCTGAGGAACTGGAGGAAGATGATGAAGAACTGCTTCTCAATAAATACAATCTGGAAATTCTACCTATGGAAACATGGGATAAAATAAACAAATTGGCTGTTTCCGCTGAACAAACTTCGGAAAAAATTGAGGTTACTGAAATAACTACTACTATTATTATATTAGCAGGTCTTTATATATATAATGTGTTATAAATATATACAAGGACTTTCATTTTATAAATACAAGCTCATTTTCAATCAATTTTCTGTCATACAAAATGTTGCATATACATTTATAACTCCAATAATTGATCTCCTTTTTAATTGGTATTTGTTATTAAATTTCAGGTTGATGTATCAGGAATGTCCAAAGAAGACAGGACGAAAATCCACGAGGCTGTGAAAAAAGCGTTTGGTGAAAGCATCATTGGTAGCACAGTGACAGTAGATGACAAGAAGTTTGTTACATTCACCAAGTATCGCAAGGGAGGTTAGTATAAAATGTAGATATTGTAACCAAAATTTTGACATACATACATAGATATTTTTTGCCCAAAAATTAGTATTTATAAAGGAGCAGTTTGCGATATCTTAAATGCTAAATGTTTTTAACTCTTTTGTTTTTCTTTACTTTCAATTTTGATTTAATTTAATTCAATTTGTTTTTTTTTTGTATTTTTTGTGTATTGGCTTTAAGTGGAAACTTTATTTTATATTACAGTGTTTCTAAATTGTTTGGTTCCCTAATAAAATAAAATAAAATAAATAAATAAATAAAATACATAAAGTATTAACATAAATATGTGTTTTTTATTATTTTGAAGTACGTAGTACATACTCCCAGTTCAGTTACTTTGCAGCAAACATTATCATGGGTAGAGATGATGTAAATTGTCATGTACAGCTGCGTGCAAAAGTATTAGGCACCCCTATTGTTAGTCACTATCTCATTATATTGCGGTCAAGTGTGTGTTTTATGGTTTAGCTGTTGTATTAGCGGCAATTTTTAACCAAATTAAGATAAAAGAAAATATTTATGACATCCAGGTGTGCTCCTAAGCGGTGTTTCTTCGAATTTGCTTTTTTTGCGTTTCGGGTTATAGTGTGTTATCAGTGCTTGTAGTGAACATACACGTCTTCTACGCAACTATTCCTATCACAATTCTAAAGACTAACATTTAACGTGTTAATCATGCCGAAAAAATCTGAACTTAGTGCTGAACAGCGTCTAAGAATTAAGATTTTACATGAACAAGGCATGTCTCAGGTTAAAATAGCCCGAGAAGTGAAGTGCTCGCGATGTGCAGTTCAATATGCTATAAATCGCTTCAAAAAGACTGGCACCCATGAAAATAGACCAAGAACAGGCAGAAGAAAAGTTACTACTGAACGGGAAGATCGATTGTTGATTAGGCAGTCTCTACAAAACAGGAAAAAAACTGCTTTAGAGCTCGCTGCAGCATTATCTGAGGCAAAAGGCAGCTCAGTGAGTGTTTATACTGTGAGAAGAAGACTTCTTAAAGCTGGATTAAAAGGATGTAAAGCAAGGAAGAAGCCGTGGCTGTCAGAACACAATAAGAAAAATCGGTTGGAGTGGGCATTCAAACATAGAGATTGGTCAGTGGAAGATTAGTCCAACATACTGTGGTCAGACGAATCTAACTTTGAGGTATTGTTATTTATTTTATGTAGAATATTAAAACACATAAATGTTTTTAAAATAACGTACTGCAAGAAAAATAATAACTTTGAAAATAAATGTGTTTTTTTCGTTTGGCATAGCTGTTTGGAACACCCGGTGTGACTTATGTTAGGCGAAGGGTTGGCGAAGAATACAACCCAGAATGTGTGGTTCCCACTGTTAAGCATGGTGGAGGCTCAATAATGATCTGGGGCTGCATGGCTGCCGACGGAGTGGGCGAAATGGTGTTGTGTGAGGGACGAATGAATAGTGTTAAATACACTGAAGTTCTGGAAACAGCACTAGCAACGTCGATAACGCAAATTTTCGGTGATACAAACACCGATGGCCTGAAATTTCAGCAAGACAACGCCACTTGCCACAAGTCGGCGCATAGCATGAAGTGGTTTGCTGAAAATCATATTGATCTTTTCGACTGGCCACCACAATCACCAGACCTCAACCCGATTGAGCATATTTGGTCCATTTTAAAGAAAAATATCCGCAGGCACTCGATTAGCAATAAACAAGCTCTATTGGCCGCGTTACAGCAGGAATGGAAAAATATATCAAGAGAAGAATGTTTCAGGCTGGTAGAGTCAATGCCAAAAAGAGTGGCTGCGGTTATTAAGTCAAAAGGTGGACCTACAAAATATTAATTATTTTCTTAAAATAAACCATTGTAATCATAAATGCAGTTTTATTTACACTCGCTTTGCTAAAACACCCTAAAACTTGTCTTACTGTAGGGTGCCTAATACTTTTGCCCGTGGCTGTATATATGTAGTTCAAAATAATTAAAACACATGTAATCTGAAAATATTAGTTGTACTTAAATGGATAGTTGCAAAAGTCTTAGATCTTATTTCATTCTTATAGATAGAATAAAAATCTACTTCTAACAATAACATGATATAAAAGTTAAAAATTGTAATATTTATTTGCTAAACTATGAAGAAATCTCATACATGTTACTTTCATGTAAAAAAGTTTTTAAATGTAATAATAATATATTAATATATAATATTTTCTTTACAGTCAGATTTGACAATCGTGTGAAGTGGGTATGGGGCGGTGAGTATGTACATTTTGTGGTCTACAAAGAGAACTGTGATACGATGGAAGCTGCTTCAGTATTGGCACAGAGGTTGCATATAAGGTGAATAATTTAAATATATACATTATGTATATATTTTCTACTTAATTTATATATTATTATAGAATTCCATTAATATTATAAATATGTTAGTAGATGTATGGATCTTTGTTCTTCCACATAAATTTAACCAACAAATTTTGTAGAAACTTCCCTATACTGCAGCTTAGACATCTAATAAGCATATGTACTATAATTAATTTATCACTAGATATAGTGAGAACATATTGTAATTCTATGAAATATAAATTTCTGACAGTTGTTTACCATATCTATTATATTAGATACAGATTATTCAGTTCACTAACACTTCTCTATATGAACTTAATAAATTTATTGAATAATTTATAATATTATAAAGCAATTATATATAATTATGTCTTAGAACATTTCTCATTTCTTATTCAGTAATAAATTAATGTTCCAGCCCATCAATGCTTGGTTATGCTGGAACTAAGGATAGAAGAGCCAAGACCAGCCAGTGGTTCAGCATCCGTCGGTTCGAACCTCGTCGTATAGCGTCAGCGGCCAAACAGAGCCGGATGCCTAGAGTGAGGGTTGGCAACTTCTGCTTCAAGGATTACCATCTCAAGCTGGGCATGCTGAAAGGAAACAAGTATGTTGAAATAACTATACCCCTACTAATATTATAAATGCGAAAGTGACTCTGTCTGTCTGACAGTCTGTCTGTTACGCTTTCACGCCTAAACCACTGAACTGATTTAAAAGAAATTTGGTACAGATATAGAGCTGACCTTGTGAAAGAACATAGGATAGCTTTTATCCCAGATTTTTGAAAAGTTCTCTTGGAAACGCGATATAATCGAACTCCACGCGGGCGAAGCAGCGGGCGGAACGCTAGTAATATATATATGACTAAAATAGCATTACAACTGACATTATAAATGATTTTATGACTGCATGTCATGTCATATTTGACATGTCTGTTTGTTGTCATGAATGTTTGTTACTCTTTAACACAAAAACTACTGGATAGATTTTAATGAAACTTTCCAGTAACGTAGCTCAGACAGCAGAGTGAACTTATAAGCTATTACTATTTTTTATTACAAATGCGGGGATAATGAGCTTATTTCTTGGTATTTATTTTATTTTTTATAAGTTTTGTCGTCAATTCTCGAATTTGCGTGTGTTAATGAAAATTTTGGGTGCGAGAAGTTTACTTGTCGCACTCAAATTGGCATTTAATTGTGAAGTCGGCAATTAGCGTCTTTTCGACCCCAAAAACAAGCGCAAAGATAATTTTTCCCCGCATGAGTAATAAGAAAACTATTCCGAAGCCCTGTGTTGTTAGTGACGGAAGGTTACATGTATGTATATATGTCGCGAAAGTCACCTGACAGACTATAGATGGCGCTGACATATAGTTGCAATATATTTTATTTCTCTCTAAATACAATTCGGCAGTCGAGACGGACATAGTCGCGGCTAAAACCTAGTATGTCTATGTGTATGACAGATAAGTACATGTAAAACTAAAAGTAAAGTTGATTGATCTTTTTAGTGCATTTAATAATAATAAGAATAATATTATGGCCGTAAGAATAATAATATGTATGCTACAAATATTGCTTATGATTCAAAGAGATTATGAATGAGAGTATTCCACTTATTCATATAAATATTTGAAATTAAATGACATATAAATATACAGGGTGACTGGTGAATTACTATCGATATTTGAGGACGTGATATTTGACGATCATATATGACAAAATAAAAATTAATATAACATAAATATTAATAAACTTCTAAGTAAAGTTAACCAAAAGTTATGTAATTAATTACGCATCGTGTGAACACCCTACAGATTAGGTATATACACACACTCACACATACGCGTGTCGTGACGTGGTGTTGTATCAGCACGCCGCCGCACGCGTCCACACTTAAACACTTGGAACGTGTCAACACTTTATTTATTTATACGGAAATTTTGTCAAAAATTAAGTGCCTATTTTTTTTACATAATTCGAATGAGAATCATGTACCGAGTATTCTCCTTAAATATTGATAGTAATTCACCAGTCACCCTGTATATATGTATTTAAAATGTTTAATATACTTTAGTTTCTGACAGATTTCGTATATGTCTGCGCAACGTGACGGCGTCTGACGAATGTGTTAACGTGGCGTGCAAATTGTTGAACGAGAATGGATTCATTAATTACTACGGACTACAGAGATTCGGTTCACGAGCTGATGTACCTACACATGACATCGGTTTGAAATTGTTACAGGGGAATTTTAAGAAGGTAGGTAATAAACATAATAAGAATATTACATGAACTAGAACAAATCTGTTTTCACACGTTGGTTTTCTTAATTAACTATCATTATTTTTTGACCAGATAGCTAATATTTCTACCAATAAGCTGCCATAATTAGCCAAAGAGTTCATATAATTTCGAAGAGACTCCCAGATGTTAACTATTTGCAGGCTATAGACAGTATATTAAGTAATTAAAGAGAAATCTATATTCAATACGCTGTTTCTCTTAATTAAGTATCATAATTTTTTGACCGGATAACTAATATTTCTACCAATAAACTGCCATAAGCAGCCAAACAGTTCATATAATTTTGAAAAGACTTCCATGTGTTAAATATTTGCAGGCTATAGACAGTATATTGACTCAACGGTCTGATGGACCTCTCAGTGCGGCGTTACAGCAGTACTCGGCGGGAGACGTGCGGGGGGCGGGTAGGGCGGTGCCCCCGCGTGATGTCACACCGGAAGCCAGATTACTGAGAGCCCTCGCGGCTAGACCCAACGACCTATTGGGGGCTCTGCAACAGGTATGGTCTACACATAGGAGATTGTACTTAGTCTTGTGTACTAGTCTAGTGTACTTAGTCTAGTGTACTAGTCTTGTGTACTAGTTTAGTGTCTAGTACAGTGTACTAGTCTAGTGTACTAGTCTAGTGTACTTAGTCTAGTAGTTATTATGCTTGTTTTATAATAATGATTAATGTAACGTAACATAGTCTCAACATAGGAGATTGTACTTATTCCTAATTTAGTAGTTCTTGTACTTATTTTCGACTGATAATTAAGTTGAAGTGATATAATTGCTTTCTAAAAATTGCCAAAAGTGCTAAATTGCTTACTAAAAGTTAATGATATCTAAGGCTTTCGATAGTATTTATTATAATTATATATAAATATACGCAGAAAAGTAACCGAAACTTCTTGAGTATGTAGTTTTAAAAATAATAAAATACGCGTACTACTATATTCCGAAAAATATAAATTTCATCTATTAAAAGTTGTTTATCGTAAGGTTAAAATCACTATGTTATATTTCAGGTGTCCCGTAACTGTCGTCTTCTATACATACATTCGTATCAGTCATTAATATGGAACAGAGCGGCCACACATCGACTGAAACAATCTAGGATGCCTTTAGTGGGAGATCTAGTGCCTTTAGAGCCGGTAGCTCAAGTTATTGAAGGTTTGATTATAATTTTTATTACTATAGGACTACTAGCTGCGCCCCGCGGTGATACCCGCGGATTTCCGGGATGTAAAGTAGCCTATGTGTCATTCCTGGACGTCAGCTTCCTGTATACAAAATTTTATCAAAATCGGTTCAGTCGTTTGAGCGTGAAGAAGTAACAAACATACAAACATACTAACAAACATTCGCAATTGTAAATATTAGTAGGATAACAGTTATGTTATGTGTTACTTACTCAGTTTAATACAAATATTTACTGAAATAAATAGATATTTTGTCTCACAAGAAAATATTTTTTAGGTAAAAGTTGTTTCTATAAAATGAGATCACTTTGAATTTTTGATTTGAAATTATTAAGAATCAGTACTACTTATTATTTGTAGAAATGAAAGGATAAGGTTTTTTACCAATATTTAAGCTTATATAATTATCATTGTAATCTATTTTATTTTATAAGCAACATAATAGGATATTAATTATTAATGTATTCTAAATGGTGGTTTTATTAACATTTTATAATATTTTCAGACGAATTGGATGAAGAATCTGACAATGAGGACAGTGAAAATGTTACACAGGATCAGAACAACTCAAACACAGATAATATTGAAAAAATAGAAGAAACGACTAGTAATGGCACAGATAATAACACTAATAGTAATACAGATAAAAAAAAGAAGGGCAACACTCCCAAAAAAGTGATACCAGTTAAAGTATTAACTAAGGAAGATATTGATAGTGGAAAATATAGTATATTTGATATAGTGTTGCCATTACCCGGGAATAGTATAGAGTACCCTCCTAACATGAGGGAGTTTTATGAAGAGTGTTTGACTAAGGATGAACTGACTATGGATATGAAACATAAGTATAAGTAAGTTACTTACTTAATATACTTAGATTATTGATTTTCTTATAATTGTTTATTTAACACTTGTATAATTCTTTATTTAATACTTCTGGATTTGAACATAATAAAATTGGTGCTAATTATCTATATTTGACCACAGTATAGAAATTTTAGTTGAAGTCCATTTATTATTGGTCATTGAAAAAGAGTATTTCGTACATACTTTTTATGTACTAGTATGTACTACATATATACAGAGTTACAAATAACTTTGTAACAGTAATTCACTTTATTGGAAGTTAGCAAGCTTGTATTATTGTTCGACCTTTACAACATTATATCAGAGAATTGAAGCGAAATCCTTTAATTATTGCAGCCGCTTTTATTTTAACTACAACATACTTTACAAGTAATTTGTATCTGAATGAAGCTAATACTTTTGGAAACTGTAAAAAACTAAATACGTGATCAAAACTAACCGACGTTTCGATTAGTATTGATCACGGTTGCTGAAAAGTAACCGAAACGTCGGTCGTATTTAATTTTGTACAAAATTAAAGCACTAATAATATATCCAAAAAATATAAGTTTCATTTAAATACTCTTAAAACTCTTAGATCTCAATTTACATCTTGTTCTAAGTTATTAACTAGTTAATCACCCTGTATATACCCAGGTCGTACAACCTCAGCGGTGGTTACCGTCACGTCGTGTGTCGCGTGTCTGACATGACCTGGAAATGTGTGACCTACGACCGACACACGGATGACCTCGTGCTGTCTGACGCTGACCTTATTGATGGGGTCACCATCACACATAAAGAGGGTGGGTTTGTGTGTGTGTGTGTTACGTGTAGTCGTTTATATTTTTGTGGGTTTCAGTATGTGTGTGGATGTGGGTTTCAGTATATCTGTGGATGTGGATTTCTGTATATGTGTGGATGTGGGTTTTAGTGTGTGTGGGTGTAAATGTCAGTGTATGTGTATGGACGTGTATGTTAGTATATGTTTGTTGGTGTCTGTATGTGCAATTTTTGGGAACATGCAACTGATACTTTCTTGTATTTGAATGTTTTAGATTGAGTCCATATTAGTAAAACTGATGTCTGTCTGTGTATGCTTTATTATCTTATATGTGTAATTCATCCTATCGAGGTTTTTCGTATTCATGTGGCTATGTTATATTTAGAATATTGGTTACTTTTTTATTATTTAGTCGATAAATTTATTTATTTTATGTACCAAAAAGAAAAAAAAGTTACAGTTAAATAAATCAGTTAAATCGCACGGAACAGATTCCGATCTAATTATATGGGATTTTCATTAAATAATTTTACTCTCATCTTAGCTAACTAACCTTTATGTGCATATATTTCTTTTATAACCCATAATATTTACGTGTTTTTTTTTTAATTATCAGATGGTAAATACAAGGCGTTGTTGCTCACAATGACTTTACCAACAAGTTGTTACGCGACTATGGCGCTGCGGGAACTGTTACGTGTTGGCACTTCAAGTGACGTGCAAGCATTACAGAACGACTACCACGTGGATAAAGACGCCGTTAAAAGAAAAATGGCCGACGACGAAACAGACGCTAAGAAAACTAAAGTTGATTAATAAAATGTTTATTGAGGTTTTATTTTATTTGTATTGACCTTTTTCCTCATATATATATATGTTACCGGAAAATAACAAGACTCGTAAGTTGATTAACTCTTGGAAAATAATGAACGGTCCTTGAAATGTACTATTTAACGCATTGAATTTAGGTAATTGGTCAACTAACGGTACCTAGCCCTAATTTAATGATTATTATTGCTACAAGTAAAATCATCCACGAATGGGCCAATATATATATTGAATTAAAAAATATTCTTTATATTTTATATGGTTATGCATATACAGTTTGTTGCAGAGTTTCCATGGTTGAAATTAACTTTTTTTTACAAAATAATATTTGTTTATATACATACATCTTAATATACAAAACAGACTACAATCAATTTTGATTTGGTACTATATTATTCCAATTAAGCATTTCAACCAGATTTACAGTTCCAATACCTAAATGTCAGATACTAAGATTCTTGTTAGGTATTAAAAAGTGATTATTTCATTGCAAATTTACATAATGTCAATTACGAAGGTTTATATTTTGTTGGAACTCTTTCGTATTAATTAATACCTTTTTAATTCGTCTTTAGAAATAGTAACGTGGAATTCTATCGCCAAGTTGTCCTCGTAACAGTTTTATTTGGTAAAATATGCTATAGAGTGACTAGACAGAGTAATTATTTTATATTGACTAGTACACTAACCACATTTCGGCATCGTCATTCTACAAATGGGGCGTTGCCAGCTATTTATAAATCTGCGCACATTGTAGTAGGTAGGTCCATATAAGCTTAGGCTTTTGAATATAAAACGTTAAAAGTTTCGTATGTAGTGAAGACACAAACTAGTGATAAACGTACCGATAATACGAATGTGTTTAATTTATTAATACAATATTGTACATGCAATATCAAAGACGATATTCCTACCATGTTTTAAAAAGTGAACCAATGATATTTATGAATAAATTTTAATGATTAATTCATCTGAAATTTTTTAATGACTTAAATATGGAACCTTCGAATTGTAGAGCATAAGACCAACATGAACTTGGACAAGTTGAAGAAAGTAAATAAAAAGGGTTCTCAATGCAAATCCATTATTAGCATTTTTGGCTAATATTAACAAACCATTGTATCACACACTTACTCAATTTACAAAAGGTCTAATAATCTAAAATTGAAATAGTTTCGAACCTTTTATGATCAGAGAAAATCTGATGATTTGAAAATCATTCCACAAGTAGCATAAAATATGTCGATCCTATATAATAATTCAAATAAACTATCGTTTTTTGAGGCTTGTGACATATCTTAATAACTTATATTGAAAATAAAACACTATATAACTTAAAACACATTTATTACATTACTCTTATATAATACATTAATATAGCGACTAGATATTGACTAGAGAGTTTTATTGACAGATAAAATTAACGATAATTATGAGGTAAGAAAATTCTTATTGGCGGGATCTTATAGTCTGTGGCGATATAAACGGCCATAAGCCCTGTCGATGTTTTAGTATTCCATTTAAACCTGATAAACCACTTCTGGGCATTCCGTGGGAAGCGTGGTGGGCTCGCAGCTCTCCAGGCGTGGGAAACGAGCGTGGGCATATGATGCATTTGTGCGGTTTATTCTAAAAAAATGGCTAAAGTTTATAATAGTTCACATATAAATAGAATGAAGCAGATTAGGTCCTCAAAAGAAGTGAAATGAAAGTCATTTTATTTTAAAATTATGGTGATTATTTTTGTTTTAAAGTAAGTTCTATTACAACTAAATACAAAAACAATCCAATACACTTGACGTTGCTCATCGTCAGATCAAATTTTATATCTTTTCAATCACATAAGTTAACTCTTACATGAAAGGCTTATTCTATGTAACGTGTTGTTAAGGAAATACTTGTTCTTTATGAAAACTGTAATTTACCGTATATTCAACGCAAAGTATAAAGAAAGATATCCTAAAAAAAAAGCGAAGGATTAGGTTCTTTAAATTCAAACTAATTTGAAATACCTTTTTTATTATAATGTTCAGCTAATAATATAAAGAAAAATATTCATGAAATGTCTATAATATCTAAGTAACACCTAATCTTTACCTTAGTGTGAGTCATTCTGTGGTAATAGAGGTTGGAGCTGGCCGTGAAACATTTCCCGCACTCAGAACACTTGTGAGGTTTCTCTCCTGTTAATATTTAAATGAATTATGGCTCATGATTTAAGGAGAGTATATATTTTAAATAAATTTTTAATATAATAATCTGCGAAACCATACTATTCGGGTAAAATTGAGTAGGTAACATTATAGTTAAACCTAGCATAAGTGTTAGCACACAACAGTAATAAATAGAAACGGCTTGAATTTTACCTATATCTACCACTAAGGTTTATCTACCAAATATTATCGCAATTTTAAAGAATCTGTTAGCTTAGACTTAAGGACATCTATTTTATGTTCAATGAATGTACCTATCTGAAGTTCAAAAAAACTCCATTCGTTTTCCTTCTGCCAACAACACGATGGTAGCTACGTACCATCAGGTGGATTACAGTCTTTTATGTCCCACGATAACATAAAAATGAAATAATATTCACTACATCTTCCAGTTATTTAGAAAACGTCTTCAAAAACCTATATAGGTATGGAGTAGTGGGTATAATAAACTAAATAACGTAATAAAAATGACCTTTTATATTATCATACCTGTGTGTATTCTCCGATGAGTGTTCAGAGAGCTGGATGTGCTAAATCCTTTGCTGCAGACGCTGCAAACATGTGGCTTCTCACCTAATACATATAATATGTTTTACATTTACTCAGTAATAATAAACCAAGACTTTTATAGTAGGCATGAATATTTTTAGCGTTACTTTAATAGTTTTACCAATCTGTGTAGGATTTCGTTGCTATGATATTAATATTTTGTATATATTTTTAACATTTCGAATCCGGTATCATGTTTCCTTTGCATGTTAAGGGTAATTATGTAAATCGATTTTCTTTTGTTATTTATTAATATAAAGAGTGAGGTGATATGAAACTAGCATCTTATATATTCTGAGTCCTTTTTTTATTTGAATTAAGGTAAATTTATACAAATGGTTTTTAAAGCTGTGCTATTTAAGTTTTAGTATTTAATTTTCAATAAATTTTTGCGTCAATCAATCTTATCTAGCGAATTACAATTGGTAATTACCTATAACCTTACTAATATTATTAATGCAAAAATTTGCGAGAATGTATGCAAATATGTTGTTCTATCACACAATAAACTATATACTCAATAGATTTCGTTGAAATTCAACTTTCTTTTCAGCACAACACCGGTTTTCAAGAAAATGAAGTCGGAGATAAAAATTGGTACATACAAAAACCAAAGCAAGCATTTTAATTTTTATGATCTATTCAACAGTTATTAACTATTTTCTTAGTAATATCTTTCCATACAACTATATAGTATATTAAATCTGTTTGAATTTTATAAGAAAATATTAATTAAAAGCAAATATCCGTCACTTTTCGACGGCCGTCGCGTCGGTACGTTTGCTGTTATTGAGTTTGAGAATTATTTAAAACAAATCATAAAATAATGTCTTATAAAAATAATTCAAATTATGAATATTAAAAATATTCTCAAATAAGATCACAGAAGCTTATTAAATACTAGTTTTTGCTCGCGACTTCGTCCGCGTTAATTTCGTCATTAGTAATATAGGTATAGCTGACCGGGCAAACTCTATCCCGTCTTCAATAACCCGGTATTGGTATTTATTAAATTTCTAATGTTTCAATCGAACAGAATGATTGACATATTAGTTAGTTGTCAAGTCTATTTGTATGGGAAATAGAAAAGGGCTGTTTTTAGGGTTTTTCCAGCAATTATTCCAATTTTTCTCACCTTTTAAACCTTTCCTGGACTTCCAGGAGTATTTCAAGACTAAAATTAGCCAAATCGGTTCAGCCGTTCTCGAGTTTTAGCGAGACTAAGGAACAGCAATCCATTTTTATATATATAGAAGATAAGTTAACGGCGTTGTAACTCTCAACTCTTGAAATTGAAATTTGTCTAATATATTTTCAGTGACTGTCTACATAAAAATATATAAAATACATAGTAGTTATAGAATCAAACTGACATACAGACAGACTTTATCAAATAAAGAGATCTGAGACTATTGTGAGTATTTATTTAAATAAAACTATTAACTAACTAATGTATTCTAATTACCAAACGTTATTATTATTTTAAAATATCTCCTCTGTCCGTGATCACGGTTGTTGCAAAGTAAGTAGTAACCGAAAGGTCGGGAGTATGTAGATTTAAAATAATAAAATAACACGTACTTAGTAAGTATGTACATGCGAAAATATTGCATAGTTTTATTACCAAATAATATGTATAGGTTATACAGATTTAAACTGTTTGGTTCAAAACTAGAATTAAACGACATTTTTAAATGGTACATACCTATTATGTATGTAGTTTTTAATGATTTATATTTCAGTGGAATATTTCAAATTCTTTGTTTCATCTTGTGGGCATTATGACAAAATATAAAATTAATATGTATTATACCTATAACACATTCAAAAACTATAATCCTCGAGTTTTAGATTTGGCAATGTAATTCCATAATTATTAAAGTTTTGAGGTTAATTAACAAACTTAATTATTTTTATGAGGAAACTAGATTTTTGTAAAATTTAATGCATTTCTTTAAAAATTTACAAGATGTAAATTTAATTAAGAAATTTGTAAATTAGAATGATATTTTTTCAAAAGAACGAATGACGAGAAGAATATAAAACAAGCATCTCATGTTTTTTTAAATAATGTATATTAACAATGGGGCTTCTATAATAATAATTAATCGGTACATTCTACGTGTAACTGTCAAGTTAACTTAGTATGTATTTTGCTTAAAACCTTTGATTTTCATAATACATGTCGTTCTTATTTAGAAAGAACAAACAGGGGGACATAGCTTG